GAGAGAGAGAGAGAGAGAGAGAGAGAGAGAGAGAGAGAGAGAGAGAGGAAGAGAGAGAGAGAGAGAGAGTATTCTACACAGGAAAGGCACCTGGAGTCCTCAGAGCTGCCCCTACTGAGCCTGCAAGCCTGCAGTTCTATGGTGTGATACATTGAGGAGTCTGATGAGGCAACTCCATCCCTAGCAACTCCATCCCTAGCAGGGCCAGGGACTCCCAGAGTACCAAGTTCAGTTGCCTAGCAACAGGCTGTATGAGGCCACGGAGTGAGAGAGTGGAAGATTCCTGAGAACTCTCCCTTGCTGCAAGTCCTTTTCCAAACTTGGGTCCCATAGATGTAGTTAGAGGGTTTTCAGGAATGGCACCAACCAGGAGCTGGCTGCTGCAGCCCCACATCACTCGGTAGGGATGGAATGTTGCTATCTCAGTGCAGGGTACATGACGGAGGGGAAGATCTAACTTATCTTGAGTGTCTGACACAGGATCTGTCCTCGGTGGGGATAAGAGAGGAGGTTGTGAGAGATAGGGTCAGGTAAGAGTCCCCCTTCCCATCACTGACCCTGTTCTCAAGTTCTCTTGAGATGTTCTCCAAAGGGACCCACTTATGCTCTTATTGAAGCGGGGGGGGGGGGTGTCCCCCGGCTGTCTCCAGGCTGCTCTTACTTACTTAAGCCACCCAGAGATGGGTAACTGTGGCAGGCATTTCAGAAGGCACCTGAGCCCACCGTCACCCAGCAGGTTGTCTGTGAGGCTGCAAGAAGGAAGGGACAGTGTTAGTGAGCCAAGCTCTAGCTCCGCCTTCTCATGGTCCCTGTGGCCACTGGATTGGCTGCCACTGCTGCTTATCACCACCACGGCACCAACAGCCTCACCACCAGAAGCACCAGCACCGGACTGAGCTACCAAGCCCATCACCCCACTGTGAGCCTAGGCGGACAGCTTCACAATCCCCACTGACCCCCTCATCGGCACCTCAGTAAACCTGTGTTTACTGTGTCTTCCTCACCCCCTCCGTTATCTGTGGCACTCACAGGGCTCAGGTTCCTCTAGCAGGCTTTGGGGAGTTAGAAAAAAACGGATGAGTTTTCCCCTGTCCCGTGGCTGAGGCCAGCTAGAATTTGCAATTTCCCAACAAGAAGTGATTCAAGGAAGGGACAAATGTTTGGAGGATGTAATTACCTCACAGATTCCCTCCTGCGGATTAGGGATCTGATGCCAGAAACCACCAGAAGCTACCTCAATACTATCCCTCCTCCCTCTCCTGATAGCAACCCTGGTCTCAGTCACAACTTTAGAAACGGAGCCATGGTCTTCTGAACATCTGATTTCCAGACTATATTTCTGACACTTTAAAAAAAAAAGATTATTTTCTTTTTATTTTATGTGTATGGGTGTTTGTTTACATGTCTGTATGCCTACTACATGTGTGCTTGGTGTCTCCAGGGGGAGCAGATGCCCTGAAACTGAAGTTCCAGCTAAGTGACAGCTACCATGTGGGTTCTGGTAACAAAAGCTGGGTTCTCTGCAAGAGCAGCAAGTGCTGTTTACAACCACTGAGCAATCATCTCTCCAGTCCTATGGCCCTGACACTTGTTTGGAATTTTCTGAGAATGTTCCTTTAAAAATTGCTTTATAGAGGTCGGAGAGATGGTCCAGCTGTTCAGAGTGCTCGCTGCTTTTGCAGAGGACCAGAGTTTGATTCCTAGCACCCGCACAGGATGGCCCAACCACCCAGAACTCTGGCTCCAGGAGATCCAACATCCTCTTCCTTCTGGCCTCTGGGTATTCGCTGCGTGAAATGAAAGAGTGTATGTGAATGAGTGTGTGTGTGTGTGTGTGTGTGTGTGTGTGATAGATTTTAAAAATTGCTTTGTGTCACAAAGTCAATTAATAGAATGACTTGCATTTGATTTCCGTGATACTGGAGTGTGAGCCTAGGACTTTGTACACACTAGTGCTCTAACCACTGGGAAATACCTCCAGCTCTAAAATGACCTTTAAAACAAGGTAAGTTTCCCTCTACCACGAAACATTCTTCTTTCCTAAAACACATGCTTTCCAACCAGCCACAGTTCTCCTCTTGACAACACCTTCACTGAAATTTGTTTAAGTTGAGATCGGGTCTCACTATGTGATGCCTTAAACTTGCTACGGAGCCCAGGCTGGCTTGGAACTTGGAATCCTCCTGCCTCGGCTCTAAAATGGTAAGATGATGTATCTGGTCATAAGAGAAATGTAAACGACGTAGGTTATTATTATTTTTACAAGGCTCCTTTATTTCCCAGGGATTCTCGGTTGGACGACCACCACCTGGAAGTGCTGCAGTAGCCCTGTGATGCTGGCCAGGCTCTGGAACTCTGGGCTCTGAGTTGCTTATCTGTGCCCAGGGCAATCGTAGTAGCCAGGCTTCTGAGAGAGTAACGGGAGCACACGAAGCATTTACAATATGGAGAATCTCTATAGTGCACTGCTGCTGTCTTCTTTCTGGGGGACGAGGGCACTCGCCCCCTGTTTGAGCACTCAGCACAAGCCACAGACATGCCACTTCATAAGTCCCCATCCTGGCTGGCCCCAGGTTCCTCTTCAGCCTAACCATTTGGTCCTTTTTACCATCTGCTAGGCAAAACAATACGCCTCCTATTAGACACCCTGCTCCCCAACATCTACCTACAGGCTTGGGTGTACTGGGCCAGCACGTGGCTGAGGGGCTGCCAGCATCTTCTCTGAAGAGCTGCCCAGTGACGGGATGTGATGGTTAATCTGCACTGCCAACCTGACTGGATTTGGGATCACCTAGGAGTCGCACCCCTGGGCGTGACTGTGAAGGCATTTCCGGAGAGGCTTGACTGAGGAGAGAAGCATCCTTGTGCTTCCACCACCACACTATGCCTTCTTCATCACGGTGGAGCGTAGCTCACTCAAACCAGGAGCTGAGGCCAGGTGGGGTACTGCCCACCTGTAATCAATCCTAGCATCCTGGAGGTGGTGGCAGGTGGATCCAAAGTTCACCACCATCATCATCAAACTTACTATATAAGTAAGTTTGAGGCCAATCTGGGCTATGCTAGACTCTGTGACTCTGTCTTAAAACCCAAGCCAATCAACCAAATAGCTCGTAAGTCCAAATAAACCCCTTCCTTCCTTAAGTCACTTCAGTTAGGTGTTTGTCACACAGGGATGAGAGAAGAGACTAGCTTGGCCATGGTGGGAGTAGTGGGGAGAAGAGGAAGCACAGGCTGGGAAGACTTAGAGATGAAAGCCAGAGTCGCCCCCCCCCCCCCCCAAACAACTGATCCTGAGAGCTGAAGAGGGACACACAGGATGCCTGCTCTTAAGGACACTCACTCTTGTACCTGCCCAGCCCCATTCAGGTGTGCTCCTCTCCCTCCTCCTCCTCCCGACTTACTCAAGCTGGATGAGGCCTTTGCAGCTGCTCAGTGAACAACACAGTGACTCCACCTGCTCCTGGCTGAGGCGGCATCCTGAAAAGCTGTATGGTCCGGTCGAAGACAAGGAAGAGATTATGAATTCAAATACTCAGACCTCTTCTAGATCAGCTTTTCCTGCATTCAGCTCCTGAGCTCCAGGGGTCCTTACCAAAGCTGGGACCCTTTGAGAACACCGGGCACCCTCAGCTCCCTGCAGGCCCCTTTTGGTGCCTATGTACTCCCTCTGGGAAGGGTGCTTCTCAGTGTGGTCCCTAACCAGTCACATCAGAATCACTTGGGAACTTGGAACGTGAATCCTGGGTCCCCCCTAAAACCTGCCGATCAGAAACTCCAGACCGAGGTCAGGAGATTCGAACTCAAGCGCAAAGACCTCCAGGTCATTTCGGTAACTGGACTCTTTCCCTTCAGTAAGAAAGCTCAGACTGAGGGGAGGAGAATGAGGGTGACATCTGTGTTTGCAAACGCTGGAGTGTAAAGGACAGTCAGCCTGTGATGCGGGAGAATTATCTGTATTCTGTCAATCATATTTTAATAAAACGCTGATTGGCCAGGCAGGCAGTATAGGCAGGAAAGCCAGACAGGAAGTAGAGGTGGAGCAAAGAGACTGGGAGTATTCTAGGAAGCTCCCTCTGCCACTCCTGCGCAGACCACCGAAGAGGCAGCATGTAACTTGCCCAGCTGAGAAAGGTACAGAGCCGTGTGGCTAATGTAGATAAGGATAATGGGGTAACATAAGTTATAAGAGTTAACAAGAAGCCTAACCTAATGGGCCAATCAGCTAATAACTTAATGTAGACTATGTGTGATTTTCTTTGTTGCTTGCCGGTTGTGGGGTACTGGGAGGGACAGATACCCCAAGCAAGCCGGCCCTCATGTTACAAGCCTGTCTGTTTGAAAAGGCCCTACAGTGAAATCTCATAGTCAGTTACATGGAAGGGCCATGGCCAGCCAGCCATCTTTAAAAACAAACAAACAAAAAAACAACAAAACAAAATAAAAAACAAACCCTTAAGTCAGAGAGTTGATAAAATTGCTAGCTAACTTGAAAAAAATCATTATTAGTAATTTGAAAAAAAATCATTATTACTCTCCTTAATTTTTAAAAATTCTTCTTTTTTTTTTAGGATATGGATTTTCTACGTAGCCCAGGGTGGCCTTGAACTCACAATCTCCCTGCCTCAGTCTCCTGAGTGCTAGGATTACAGGTGTGTGCCACCACGCATGACCTCATTATTTGCTATCTAACCCTTGCAGAAAGACTGTTTCTGCCCCTGGGTCTGAAGCAGTCAGCAATCGGAGCTCAGAGTCCAGCCATTCTTCCTACTCTATGACCACACTGTAACGCTCAGCAGGTACTGGCTATTCATTGACTGTCATTTCCCAGCAAAGAGATGACAACCCAGAGGGATGGATCCAGGGTCCCACAGGGAATGAGTGGCATTCAGCTGCCTCTGCATTCAAAGACTATCTTCTTGCCCTCCAGCACTGTCAGGGCCAAGAGGGCAGGGTCACTTGCCACTGTTTATGCCTGGTGCCTTATATATTGGTTTGTGCAGCTTTGCCAATGTTCTGCTGTTCTGTTTGCCAATGTTCCATAGCTCCCTGTTGTATCTGAGGAAGCCAACAGTCAAAGGGTAAGCAGCTTGCCCAAGCCCCCTTGGGGACCCTGGTGCCACTGGGTAGGATAGCCTGATTGCTGAGCAGGTCATGCATCCCTTTCTGTGGACCCCGTCTATTTGGACACAGACTCTCTGTTAGCCCCTGGGCCCAGCCCAGCCCTCACTGGGCCTTGTATTCTCCCAGCTGGAGGAACTAGCTCACATTTGGCCGCAGGCATCCTGCATGCTTCTCTGGCCCTAGGATTTAGGTCTGCTTGTCCTTAATCTCTGTGCATGTCCAGGATGGCTCAGGGGACTTACCCAAAGCACACACCCTCTTGCTCTTCCTTGGAGCCAAAGTGCAGGGCAGCATCGCATAGGGACCTGTAGTGACAATAAACACTCAGTCACCCTTGGCCATTGCCCCAGGGTGCCCAGACTTTGGCTTGGGCACTTCTGAGAACTCACACCCTCCATACACCAGGCTTCACCCTCCAAAACTAGCCCTAGGGCTCCCAGCATGATGCCCACCTGAGAGTGACCTTCTGGACCCGTGGGCACAGGTTGAAGATGTCAGCCAGCAGGAAGGGGCTTTTTGAAGATAGGACTGTGTGGTTCAGCCTAAAAAGAAAACGGGCAGGGCCAACCAGGGTCACTGGCCAAGAAAACAGCTATGCTGGAGGGACAGGAAGAGGAGTACCATCTTGGCTGCCAGCCCAGCAAGGGAATACGAAAGACAACAGAGACTCAAGGGGGGCAAAAAGGAGTGGAGTGGGAGCAATATAACAGGGCTTTGAGTTCTGGTTCTCCTTGCTAACTGTGTGGCTTTGAGTAAGCCTCCGAGTCTCAGTCTCCCTATGGGGCAAACGCGACTAATTGTGGTACTCGCTTCTCTCCAGTAGGCACCTTGCCTGGCATGCAAGATTATTGCTTTGGTTTAAATTTTCTTTTAAAGATTTATCTGTGTTTATATGCCTCTGCGTGTCTGTGTGGGTGTATGTTACCCGTGTGTATGGAAGAGGCAGCGTACCCAAAGAGTGCAGAAGAAGGCATCAGATCCTCTGGAGCTGGAGTTAGAGGTGGTTGTTAGCCATCAAACTCGCAAGAGCAAGAGGTTCTCGTAGCCATGGTGCCATTTCTAGCGCCTTACATTTATTTCTTCTTTTCTGTGTCTGGTGTTCATGCACATGTATGGGCATGTTCTCACATGTGGGCAGGATGTTGTTGTGTGTGTGTGTAGGGGTGTGTGTGTGTAGGGGTGTGTGTGTGTATGAGCATCCCAAGGTTGCTATCACGAATCTTCCTTGATCTCTATCTTCCACAGTATTCTTTAAGGCAGAATCTCTCCACTGCAGCCTGAACACGTCAATATGGCTGGTCTCACTAGTCAGTTTGATCAGTTGAATTCTTTCCACACAGATCACAAGCCACAAGAAATGAGGAGAGACAGACATCCTAGTGACACCCGAAGGGGCAAAATTACCACCAGCTGCAAACTTGGGTCTCAAACACTTGGATGTGGGTGCATCTTGCCTGGGACACAGCTCCCTCTCTTTTCGTTGCTGCTCTTGGCCCTGAGTCTTTCCTCTACTCAGCAGTCTACCTTCCCAAAGCTACTACCTTAGCTTTGGAAAATTCAAACTACTCATCTGTCTTTCAAATTCCTGGGAGAGAAAACCCAAGGCCTCTCCCTGGCTGCCAGGTCCCGTGGTCAGCCCTGATGACTCCTTCCATTATCTTCCTGCTTCTTCCTGCCAGCCAGTGACTCTGCTCTCCTGCGGATCAAGGCTGTTCCTGTAACCCCTCAAGATAGCTGTGCTTCCAGGCTGCAGATAGGCTGATCCCTTCCTGGAATGCAGTTCCCAGCCCTTCACAAGCTCACAAAGCCAGATTCCTGCCATCCTTCCTGTAGCTTTTCCGCTCATGCCTCCTGTGGGAGTCTGAACATAACCGGTCTCCAGAATCTCATACAGAGAGGCACTATTAGGGGGGTGTGGCTTTGTTGGAGTTAGAAATGTGTCACTGTGGGGGCAGACTTTGAGGTTTCCTACGCTCAGGACACTGTCCAGTGTCTCAGTGGACTTCCTGTTGCCTGCAAGATGTAGGTTCTCAGTGACTACTGCCTGCACACTGCCATACTCCCCATCATGGTGAAAACGGATTAAACCTTGAAACTGGAAGAAAGACACCCCAATTGAATGCTTTCCTTTACAAGAGTGGCCATGGTCATGGTGTCTCTTCACAGCAATAGGATCCCTGAGACACCTACCATTACCAGTCATCAGCTGTATCCCCTCTCCAGATACTTACTACTAGAGAAGACTATCTTGTATCTTATTAATGGTTACAGTCACATATTGATCATTCGGTTTAGGCCTCTCTATCTATCTATCTATCTATCTATCTATCTATCTATCTATCTATCTATCTATCTCTATCTCTATCTCTCCCCTGTGGATTTTACTCTGTAGTCAGGCTAACCAAGAACTTGAGATCCTCTTGCCTCAGCCTTCCCAAGGGCTTGGGTCTTGCCTGATGCCACCTGGCTGCATCACTTGCTGTCACTGTGCTCCTTGCTTGACTCACAGTACAATGAGGAAAACACCAAGAAGGCAAGGTCCTGGTCATTTGCTTTCATTCCAGTGCCCATAGCAGCCCAGATGGTGCCTGATCAGCAGCAGCAGCAAGGGTGAGCAAAATGAAGTTAAGGCCAAACAAGGGCTCAGAGACAGATGCAAATCATCACACAGATGCGGTGTGACTGACCATCCTGTCTCTGGCCATCTGACATCTGCACCCCACTCCCCACTCCCCATAGGCTCAGAAGAGAAGCACGGATCCAGAGGCAATGTAAGCAGTCTCTGACATGCCCAGCCTTGGAGCTCTTGCCGCTATTAATGCTATGATTTAATTTCCCGTTGTATTTTTTTCCCATCTCAGCTGTGGATGTTTCTCCCCAGCCCCCTCTGCTAGAAGCATATTTAAAGTAAATCCTTTTTAAATTCTAACCAGTCTGCACTGAAATTAGAAAACAGAGTTTTAAATACTTTGACGAATGCTGCTTAAATTCCTCCCCTTTGACAGAGTTAAAGGGGTGACCTTTAGAAACATGGCATGTGACATATACATGGCCTATATCTGCTTAGGCCCTTTGTAGGAGTAGATGACCTTCCCATAGGCAGCAGACACGTGACCGACTCTTGGTCACACTCCTCCCATCTTTCATGAGCTTCTGAGCCCATGGCCTATTTGAGTGCAAACCCAGAGCAAGACCAGGACTATGAACCCCATTGTCAGAATGCAAAACTGAGGTCCACAGAAGACAATCGGGTGATGCTGAGTGACCTGAGCCTCAGAGGTGAGGGATGAACTGATGCAGTGGTGGGAGGATGGAGAGGAGGAGGGAATAAGAAGGACAACTCTGCCGCACGGAGCCTGGGGCACACGGTCAGCTGGGCAGAAGGACTGGAAGCCTGAACTTACTGCAGCAGGCTGAGCTGGGGCAGCCGGGGCAGACACTGCAGCAGGGTCTTCAGGCTCTCGTCACACAGGGTCTTGCAGGACAAGCTGTGAAGCAAAGGATTTGAATAAGGTGAAGGAACCGTCTAGAAAGCGGGCAGCATAGCTTTACAGCCAGAGCCCTTGGGAGATGAGACGAGACATGCTGCTGACAGGATCCCTCTCAAGACTGGGTTAGGTCAGACACGTCTTGGAAGCACTGGATGGAGCAAATGAAGTTGCTTTATTCTGTGTGTCTTTCACAAGCTGTTGGACATCTTGAGTTTCCAAGGGACCCCTGGTCTGGGAGACTCCTCTCTACAAACTCCACAGGCTGGCAGAATTGTGAGTGGAGGGTCATCACCTACCTCCACCCCAGCAGGGAGGAAGCAGGTGGGACTGGGAGCTGTCCGACTGGAGAGATGTGGGTTTCTATGACTCATCCAAACCCACCAATCACCGCATAGCAGGTACAGATAAGGTGACAGAAACAGCACACACAGGAGACACAAGCACCTACCCTTGGACCACTGTGTGCCCTGAATATCTGGAGAATCCCATTGCCCTCCACTAGGGTCTGGGGTCACTTGCTGTCCCCAGAGCCCTTTGGGCTGTTTTTCCCTCTTCCCTTCACCCCCCCTTACCCATCCTTGCACTTTCTCCTCCACCCCTTTTCCGCTGTGCCTGAAGGCCACTGGCCCCAGTCCTGCTGTATTCATTAGTTGGTTGGGAGGAGAGGATAGAACAGCATCGATGTGGGTGCTGGGTGGAGGGGCAGGAGCAGCCTGCGGTCTGAAGCTGAGTACCTCTAATGGAGCTAAGCTAATGGAGCTCAGCTTCAGGCTCAGACTCGCTCTTTCTGCCCCCATCTAGCCTGGATCTGGGGCAGTGTCTGAGTGGGGCCTTCACTGAGGGAGGCCTTTGCACAGTGCCTTCCCTTGTGGGGCTTCCCCACATCCCTAGTCCACAGCACCGTGGCCTCTGGGTCTATACACACTTTTAAAGCAATAGACACATGGCCCCTTCCAAATTATCACTGGTCTGCCAGTAGGTAGAGAAGGAAGTAGGCCTGAAGCAGGGGAACTGACCACCTTTCCTGACCTCTAAGGGAGTCCCAGGGCAGTCAGTGATGCTGGGGGCGGGGACCCTGAGGTGCTACTTATTCTCTGAATCCCTACTCTACCAATCTTTCTTATGAAGCATGAGCAGGGCCTGCAGCTCCAAGCCCTGTGTAACCCATGGCCTGGTATTCAGTGGGTGCTTAACAGGTACACAATGCTGAGGTGCTTTGGGAAGCGTTGCTGTGACACCACAGGAATGGCTGGTATAGTCTGTCTGCACAAACCTAGGTGGGTTTGCAGCATCCTGCTGCAGACGGGCAAGGTGCAAAGGCATGGAAATGCAAAAACACTCCAGGCAGGGCCACTGAATACTGGATGATGTGGTTGATGATTGTAGGACATTATTGTTAATATCTGAGGTTTGATAATATTTTTGTGGTTACATTAAAAATGGGAGTACAGAGCATGGTGGGGCACGCCTTTAATCCTAGCACTTGAGAGTGATTTCAAGGCCCTCCTGGTCTACAAAGTGAGTCCCAGGCCAGCCAGAGTGACGCAGTAAGACTTTGTCTTAAAAAAAAGTAAGCAAACAAATAAATATAAAATAATATATACAGCTTTTCATACCAAAATATTTACAAATAAAAGCATAAAACGTCAAACCAGGCAGTGGCGGTGCACACCTTTAATCCCAGGACTCAGGAGGCAGAGACAGGGGATCTCTGTGGGTTCGAGGCCAGCATGGTCTACAGAGCAAGTTCCAGGACAGACTCCAAAGCTACAGAGAAACCCTGTCTCAGTGCCCCCACAAAAAGTATAAACTATCTGGCAACTACTTCAAAATCATTGAGCATATATGCATGTGTTCATATACGTATGCATACATGTGTGTGCATGGGAATTTTTGTTGTTTTGTTTTGGGACAGGGTGTCACTGTGTAATCCCAACTGGTCTGGAGCCAGCTGTGCGGTCCAGTCTGGCCTTACACTCCTGATACTCCTGCCTCAGTCTTGAGTGTTGGGATTGTGGGCAGGGGCCACTGTACTTAGCTGTGTGCCATAGTATACGGAGAGGGGGTGGGGGTGTGTTATGAGTCCATCACTCTTGGGGGAGAGGGGAGTGCCTAAGGCCCTTTATTTTCTTTCTCTCTCTCTCTCTCTCTCTCTCTCTCTCTCTCTCTCTCTCTATATATATATATATATATATATATATATATATATATATATATATATATATATATTAGAATAAAAGAGCTGTTTAAACAACAAAGTAACCTCACAGTGAAGAAGTGTGGCAGACACAGCCTTGGCCAGGTAGTCAACGTCAATGTAAGCCTGACAGCATGCCCTAAAGAAATACCACGTGGTAGTTAGTTGGGTGAATGCTACCCCCACCCCAGTCCAGACTTTAGTTTAACCTGGAGAAAAACAGCCAAATTCAACCAGGAGACGGCTTACAAAATACTTATCTGAAGGCCCTCAAAACCAAAAAGGACATGGAAAACAAAGAAAGAACTGCAAGCTTCCAGGAAGATGGGAGGCTGAGAAGAAACACTTGAAAAGCAATGCCGGTGCAGACTGCGATCCAGATTGCAGAGATCTGTCTCCATGGAAAGAGCGCAAAAGCTTGAGTCAACAGCTGTCTGTCACAGGTGTTTCTTCACTGTGACAAACACACTATGTAACAAGAGATGCGGGCTCTCAGCACTCCTCCGCAACTTTTTTGAAACATTGTCTTAAAGTGTTCTAAAGGAGTTTTTCAAAAGGGAATTGAGGGTCAGTGTGATTTGAGACGGCTCCCTGGGATCTACAGGGTGGAAAGCAAGAACTGGTAACCGTGAGCTCCTCCGACTTCCACATAAGTATCATGACATGCACACCCACAAATGTCCACAAAATAAATATAACAAGCTTTTAAAAAATGAATCGAGGACTTGTGAGATGGCTCGGAGGGTAAAGGCACTTGCCGTCAAACCTGACAACCTGAAATCAATTCCTGGGAGCCGACTCCGGAAATGCCTCCTCTGACCTCACATGCATGCTGAGGCATGGACATACATTGCCTCGCCTCTGCAAACAACACATGAGCAAAATGAAATAAATGTTTTTAATGACTCACAACGTGACCCTCAGGGAAAGCCACACTGTCTATTTAGGACAGGGAGATTGCACACGGCCAGATCCCATCCTGCCAAACAATGCAAACCTCTCCTTCTGGTGCGTTCACTATGGAGAAGTACATGGGAAGCACACACTGGGGGTCGCATGGATTACCTTGTCCAAAGGCTGATACCAATCTGCAGTGGAGCCAGAAGTCAGGGCATGAGACTGCCGCAAACTAGGAAAGCAGGTGTGAGCCAGGTGAGGCTGTAGGCTGCACCTGGCCTAAGACTGCTAACTGTGGCGGAGTGGCACTAATCAGAAAGATCCAAAGTCTGAAATAGTTTGAACACTGATATCACACTGCAAGTGGAAAATTCCAGTCCTGACAGGTCCCAGCCCCCAAGTACAGGCTCACTGTAGACACTGGATATGACTTTCAGGTTACGGCACAGGGCTTACCCGAAACAACTGAACTTTGTGTTTAGATCTGATTCCTTTTGCCAAGGTATCTCATTCTGCATATGCAAACATTCCAAAACCTAAAGAAAATTCCAAAATCTCAAACACTTCCAGTTCTGAGCATCTTGGATAAAAACCAAGCAATCAGAAAGTAAAAACGGGACATACAGTGCTCAATAAGTGGACAGGGCTGTGACAAACGACACCATGGTTCATGAGAGGAAAGGGTAGGTTTGAGGGGGCTCCAATCTGGAGTCTTCTAAAGGCTATATTTATATAAGAATCACAACACTGACTCCCAAGGAAGGGCTCACTGTTTGTTCCACAGAAGCAGAAACTGAGGCCCAGGGACTCAAAGCCCAGAGTCAGTCAGCTTCCAGTGGCTGAGTAACACCTCGTCATGGGGTTGGTCTCTGCTCGCATAAGTGGTTGTTCTGAAGTGCGTGAGGTAGTTCAGGGACAAAAGGTTTAAAGGTGATGATTTAGCCCTAGAGGCAGGATGAGGGAGAGACCTGTGTGGGGCTCTGGTACAGGACCCCATGTATCCCAGGACTTGAGACTAAGGCACCTGGGTGATGACTGACCTACCAGCGGATCTTGTAACTCCCGGAGTGGGGCTGACCTGGTGGAAGAGGGCCGGGGAGAGTCATCAAGACTCCCCTTCAAGCCCTGTCCCAGGTTTCTGCACGTCACCTACATTGTGTCCTCAGGGGTGTGTCTTGTCACTTACTGGACTTCCAGAGGCCCTGGGCACTTCTCCAGAGCGGCACAGAGGCAGGCAAGACTCCGGGGTTCCAGTTGACACCCCTGAAGACTGAGAAGGGATAAGAGACAGGGTAGAGGATCAGAGTGGACACGGGTCCTCTGTTGTCCTAGGACACCCTCGTTCTTCCAACAGATACTGAACTGCAGACCTCAGGATCCTCTCCTATGCCCTGCAGGGCACACTCCCCTCCCCAAGCTCTCCTATAGCTCCTTCCGGTGCCCACTTTTATGACAGCTACATTAAAACTGCTCCATGTGGTGCAAGGCCTTGTCATCCACCGCCCTTCCCGACCCCAGATGCCATCTTCACTCACTTGGACCACTTACTGCCCCCTGGCTTCCACTCTTGGTCTCCCAGCCCTCCATCACCCTCTGAGTGCCTCATCTTTTTAATTTGTTAAAATGTGTTTTGCCTAAATGTGTTTTGCCTGCATGGATGTACATGCACCAAGTGCATGCCTGGTGCCCTTGGAGGCCCATGGAAGAGGGTGTCAGAATCCCTAGAACTGCAATTATAGATGGTTGCGAGCTGCCACAGGGGCACTGGGAACCGAATCCAGGCCCTCTGTAAGAACAGCACACACTCTGGACTGTTGATTCGTTTCTCCAGTTCATGTCTCATTTTTCAACAATCTAAAGGGGCCTCGCCACCGCTTCGAACCTTCAGGGGCTCCCTATTCTCCTTACGCATAAAACGAATGCCCTGCCCAGGCTCTCCTGCTATGCTCTCCAGCTACATTGCCATGCTTCCAAACATGCCTTCATCCTGGCTTTCGCTCCTTGTCTCTCCCGCCTGGGGCATGGCAACTTTTCTGTGAGTAGCTCTACTGATGCCAGCTTAGGCATCTCTTGCAGGAGAACGCCAGAGCTCAGCAGGGTCTTATAGCACCTTGTGATACAGTTGGGAGTTACCCAGGCCAGACTTTACTGGGGTATGAAGTAAACCTCTTTCTAGAAAAGGAAGTCTCGAAAGCAGCTGGCAAGCCAGGGCAGGCGACAGCTGAGTTTCCAGTGTGTTTCCCAGATATGCATCTTCTCTAAAAAGAACGTCAGGCCTTGGCTCCACCAAGGTGACCCAGAGGGCCCCGCAGCCCCCAGCACTGGCCTCTGTACCATGCCTCTTTCCTTTCCCATCTCTCGAACTCTCTTCCCTCTACTTTAATTCGAAGCCCTGACCCCTGGCTCTGCCCATTCCCTAACCCCTGAACAAAAGTGGAATACAGTACCTGAAGCTCCTGGAGGTGTAGTGCTGCCTGCCTGCCAGTAACGGGGCTCCAGCTGGGAGCTCTTGTTCACATCTGCCAGCTAGTGCATCCCTTGGAGGGGGGAAAGCATAGCAAAAGGAAATCTTGAGTCACACCCGTGGGGCTCCCACACCCTCAGGACAGGATCCTGAGGATTTGACCTCAGTCAGGTCCCTCATTACTCAGGTGGGGAAACTGAGACTCCGGAAAGGGAAGCTAGAACGAGGAAAATCAGCAGTTCACACCTATTCAGGTCAACCCCTAACCCGGTAAGCGGAGACAGAGTAGAGGGCTTCCTCTGACCATCCCAGGACTGGACATCAGCCTCCCTGTTTCTCAATTCTTTTGCTCTTATTTGGGGAACCGAGAGCATCTAGCCTAGGCCTAGCCTGGCTTCAGACTGCCTGGGACATTAGCCGTGGTGAGGTCACTGCCCAGCTGGCCCTTCCCTACTCCCCACCTGTCTCTGAGGACAGCTTCCAGGGCTCAAGGCCATGACGCCTGTTGCCACTAGGGAGCAGCTGGGAGCACTTGTGAAGTGCTAAATTGGCTTATTTTAAAGAGCTAGCCAGGCTTCTCAGGGCCTTACATATTAGATAGCGCAGCTGTCCCAGAGACCACGCCAGACCCAGGGTTCAGTTCTTGGGCATGGATGTGTGTGTAGAGATGGGGCATCCACAGAAAGCGGGAATCAGAGCCACAGGCAAGCCAGACCGCCCAGATCTCCTCTCCTTACCTGCCAGTTCCAGCCCCTCGAAGGAGGACGTGGTCACTCTCAAGGCTGGAAGTGAAAAGGAGACAGTGGGTTGGGAAGAGTCGAAGGGTCCCCTTCCCTGAAGGGCTTAGGGACCTGGAGGTGGCCCGCCACCCAGGGAATAGAATAACAATGGCTCAAACGACAGCTGATTATCTAAGACCCTTGCAGTAGGACTTGTGGCCCGTTATTTCAGCGCCCTCTTGTGGTGAACTGGGAGAGGAGGCTGGCTTTGGGGCTCTGTCCAAAGAGGAACTCGCACCAAGCTTCTCAGCTTCGTCCACCTGCCACCACACCTTTATTCTTAGGGTACTCAGGGAGGGATGAATGGGGTGCTCCTAAGACTACAGGATTTCTACATGGAGGGATTCAGAGTGTTGTAGTTCTGGAGACGCCACAGTTAGTCTAGTCCCTGAGCCCCAAAGGCCACCAGCCAGCTCCCAGCTTGCTTGGGAGTGTCTAGGACAATCTGGAGAGTAAGGGAGAGTTGAAAGACTTTTGTTCCAAGGAGAACTTGGAGAAATCTCCCTCTCATTCATTCATTCCATGACCTCCTAGCCCAAGCTCACTGCACCTAAGACCCTGAGCATGACGCAGGGTGACTTGTCAAATGGCCTCAGCAGGAAATGGTGATGGGAGGGAGATGGGAGGGGACAGGGCAGCCGCTCACCTGACATCTAGGTGGAACACCCACTGCCCGGAAGACATGCATGCGATCAAGCCAAACACAGCATCCAGGGACACACCGTTCCTGTTAAGGCTAGAGATCGCACAGACGACAATGGTGAAACCACCAGGGACTCATACATGCTCTCTGTACATCAGAGCACAGGTCCCGGGATGGGAGCGTCTTTGTTAGCAGATGGCAGACCCTGATGACCAGCGGGTAATCCTCCAACTGCCCCACACAGCTGAGATGATCTAGACAGGTAGGAACTTGCTCAAGGGACAAGCTGTGTCAGTGACAGAGCTAACATTGGAACCCAGAGATAAAGGAGGGGTGGGGTTCAGGGTTAAAAGCTGGGGAGCAGGCTGCCATCCTGAAGCTAAAACAAAGATTTCTCTTCTTTCATAGTCTCTGTCCACCTATCGTGGGGTTTTTATTTGCCATGTAAGGTCCCACTGGGGCCCAGGGTCTTCCTCATAGGTACCTTGTCACCCAGGTTAAGATCACCTGCAAGAATCTGCCAACTAACTCAATCTGCATGCCATTGTCTGCAAAATGCCCTTTCCTGCCTGTAAGCAGCCCCCCCCAGCACCCCTACCCCCAGGATCAGAGGTGTCCTTCTTTCTCAGCCAGGCTCCTCTTAGCGTAGTATTATAGCAAGAAAGGTCCTGGGCCACAGTGCTTATTCCAGAGATTATAGCCACAGGTGGAGGCTACACCCAATTTTTTGTTTTGTTTTGTTTGTTTTCTGAGGTGGGGTTTCTCTGTGTAGCTTTGGAGTCTGGTGCGGGAGAATTATCTGTATTCTGTCAATCATGTATTTTAATAAAATGCTGATTGGCCAGGCAGGAAGTATAGGCGGGAAAACCAGACAGGAAGTAGAGGTGATGCAATGAGAACAGGAGAATTCTAGGAAGCAGGAAGCTCCCTCGCCATTCCTGCCAGATCACTGAAGAAGCAACATGTGAGCTGACAGCTGGAAAAGGTACCAACCCATGCGGCTACCATATTTAAGAACAATGGGTTAAATATAAACTACAAGAGTTAACAAGAAGCCTGAGCTAATGGGCCAATCAGTTTATAACCTAATGTAGGCTCTGTGATTTTCTTTGGGACTTGTCGGCTGTGGGTACTGGGCAGGACAGAAACCCCAACAAGCCGGCCGTCATGTTACAGGAGCCTGTCCTGGAACTCACTCTGCAGATCAGGCTGGCCTTGAACTCACAGAGATCCACCTGTCTCTACCTCTGCCTCCTGAGTGCTGGGATTAAAGGCATGTGCCACTCCAGCCTGGCTCCACCCTTTTCTTCTGCATTTACTGAGGCGCCCAGAAGCTTCATCTTCTGCCGTGATTTCCCAAGGCCGTACAGAGCACAGGCAGCACAGAGAGCCGGAACCCAGGGCCTTCAGTTTCATTCACGAGATCCTCTTATTTCTGTTCAGGGAAGCTCGGGAATGGGAGGGTACTGAGAGAGCCGAGAACACCCAAGGCCTTTGAGCGTTCAGGAATGTGGTTGAGTGCAGGCAGAGTGTGAGGGATCTTGTCCACCAAGGTCTTCCTCCCACCCCGAGTGCCTCCCACCTCTCTATCAGGTCATCAGAATACTTGGACTACTCTAGACACACTGTCTTCTCCAGCATGAATCCTCCCTGTCCACCTAGGTGGAGTTGCATCAAGTGGTCCTCTTTCTGTAACCAGGGACCAGGATGACTGCTGGCAGCAGTTTATCGCTTAACGTCCTCATGCGTCCCTTATGCTTCCCGTGATTCCCTCATACTGCACTTGTCTGCATAGCCATGGGAGCCCACAGAGAGACACAGGGTCTGTTTGGAGAAGACCTGAAGCAGAAGCTAGGGCAGAGCTCTGCCAGTTGAGCCAGCGCTCAGTCCAGCCAGGGTGAGCAGAGCCCCAGTCGGGCCCTTGTTGAGCATTTGTCTGTGTGGTGCTGGAGAAAGGGGCTTCATATGCGCTACGGGGTTACATCATCACCAGACACAGAACAAATCCTCTCACAGAGGCCTGGGGGGTAGTTAGTGGCTTACTTCAAGGACTGCAGGGGACCTAGTCCTGGGAGCAGCTGGGCTAGTAGGGCCACCCCTTCATCCCTCAGAAAGTTGTCTGATAGGCTGGAAAAGAAGAAGAGGTTAGTAGACCCTGGAGTGGGTTCTGCTTTCGTATCAGTTTGGTCACCCAGCTGCTTCTGGGGCCAGGAACTCCAATCTCAGAACTAGGTTAAATCTTTGCACATCACACATGGGCCACATCCCTCTCCCCAGTATTCTTTCCAAAATTTGTGGTCTTCTGGGATGGCTGTAAAGAGTACTGGTGTGGGATGTATACTTGGAAGGAAAGTGACTCCACCTGCCCCTGATGTCAGGAAGGAAAGTCACTCCCCCCACCCCCACCCCCAAGGTCTCTAAAGTCAGTGGAGAAAGAAAACTAAGGACCAAATAACAGGACATCTGTGTTCTATGACTGAGCAGTCTGGACTGTCCCCACCTAGGCCCCCCCCTGGATGCAGACACTCACTCAAGATGATCCACGCGGTGGAGCTCGCAGTTGGCTCTCAGCGCCCCACAGAGCCTCTCTATGTGCTTAGCCAGGAAGCCACAGTGTGTCAGCCTGCAAGGAGCCAGACCCACAGCTCTGCAGTGACCACTAGACATTAGAGGGGAACGCTGCCCCCAGCCCCAGAGCCAGGCAGAGGGGCCCACAGGCAGGAGGGAGGGGTTGTGGTTTGTGACGTGGAGAGGGACGGGAGGGCTGATACGCAGCCGCCTGAAACAGCACAGAAAGGCCTGGGGCTGGGTTTGAGAGGGAATGGGATAGAGATAAGTGGAGAAAGCCATAAAGACAATAAATATAGAGATAGATACGTAGAGATAGCAGCAGAGATAGAGACAGTCATAGGCAGAGACACTGAGAGACAGAGAGGGGCACAGACAAAGAGAACCAGTGACAGAGACACAAAGCAAAAAGTCAAATGAGAAATGAGAAATAAGACTGAGTGCTGTAGAGAAAGAAACCACCTCTGAATGAGACAGGCAGGCAGGCAGGCAGGCAGGCAGGCAGGCAGGCAGACAGACAGACAGTCAGACAGGCAGGCAGGCAGGCAGGCAGGCAGGCAGGCAGACAGACAGACAGGCAG